CAAGGATCAAGATGTTTTTGTCAGTCGTCGTTAATCCAAATTGCAGCCGTGACCTTCGCATATCAAAGATTTCATCTTTAAGCGCTCGATTTTTGTAAATTACGCTTGACCTTTTAGGGGGACAGCCTTTTCTAACTGCCGAGTTAGACTTTTAAGAAAAGCTCTTTCCGACCCACGACTTTTTACCAATTATATGTCGGGAGAATGGCAAAATACACAGAGTGGTTCGTTACGAAACAAGCCAAAACTCACCGCTTTGTTAGTGACACTCCTTATCAATTTATTGCTTATCTCGCAAGACGTTGCGAGTGAGTTTCTTCTTTATGAATGTGGTCTTTGCCATACTTAGCTTTTCCCGAAAAATATCGATTGAAACAAATTTTAAGCTAAGTTAAAAGGTTATAATATCGTGTATCCTGTTCTTCTGAGTACCCTGCGCTCAGCACAAAGTCTATACGAGGAGGTGTTGAAAAGTTCTCGACTAGGAGGTATGGCTTAGAGCCATGAAACGTTGATGCTGTTCTATATACCATTATACCATTCATAGAAAATATTCCTCCTCCGACAGGAATCGAACCTGTATCAAGTAAACGCTTGCAAATGACATCCTACAGGTTGCAGCTTGTCCAAGTCTTAAAGGCAGATGGCAAGTAAAAGCATGATCAATTGTGTGTCGATATGCAAATGAAACTTAAAGACAAGTTTGAAGAACGTCTTCTTTTCTGTGATGAGGTCGCATTTCATACAAATGGCAAAGACAAGCATAGTATTCGCATTTGGGACGAAGCATATCCTCATAGCCCAGTTGAGCCCATGAGGGACCCACCAAAAGTGAATACTGAAAACTTGTGAAATCGCTTATGGAATCGACATATTTTTTAATTTCGCATTCAAATTATACTGAATAAATCTTAATTTGCTCAACAATAAGCTTGTTTAGTTTAATTTGCCTCGACTATGTAATTTTTTCAAACACCATATATATATATATATATATATATATATATATATATATATGGTGAACTCACTACTCAGTCATGATTTTTCTAACGTCACTTGCTTGCTAACCTTTACACTGCCATGAGGCCCCCCATATATATATATATATATATATATATATATAATTGTCGGACTTAATCTATTTCATAATTTGTTGTCAATGTTTACGTTAAGGTACGTTTCGTCAGCAGATATGATCGTTCGGGAAAGATCGTCGAAGATTTGTTGTTTATAAACAGTAATGTGGACTTTGCTCATTAGGCGCTTTCTCTGTAGCTGAGTGGTATAGCACGTTAGATCAACTGACGGTTCCGTATAGGACACAAGGTCGTTTCCTGTTGGAGAACGCATATTTTTACGAAATTTCTCTAAAAAAATTTCTAGATAAATGTAATTAATACTATTCATTTAAAAAAAAAACAAAGAATTTATTTAAAGATATATATATATATATATATATATATATATATATATATATATATAAATATATGCGTGTGAGTATTTATATATATATGTGTGTGTGTGATTTTAAAACAAATATAATATTTAGTTGAGATTTAAGTACTTGTTCCGCAATAGTTTTGACCATATACATAACTTACTTTCTATCATAGCTGTCTATATTTCTGAGATGAGGTATTGTAACTATTTACACCGTTCGGACTGTTGCCCGCATCTTTATTGCCATATTCACGACGTTTCGGCCGCTGTACGTTCCGGTCTTCTTCAGGATGATTCTATATTTCTGAGATGAGGTATTGTAACTATTTACACTATTTACATCGTTCGTACTGTTATCCTCATTTTTATTGCCATATTCACAATGTTTTGGCTGCTTCACGCTCCGGCCTTCTTCAGGTGATTTCCGTTGGAATTTCGAATCTAACCTTTTTATTTAGTTCACGGTGGTACATTGTTCTAGTTCCACGTGACATGCCCTTTTTGAATTTATCAATTAATTCCCTTTAGTAACTCAAATCACCTCCAAGTTTTTGTTCCTCTTCTGTAGCCAGGTATTGAACACACAACCTTTTGGTTTGTTACGTTTTCGATCTCTTAACCAACGTTTTCATCCACTTATTCTTGTGAGTTCAATACCTGGCCTCAGCAACAGGAATAAAATGTTGAAGAATTTTGTTACTAAATGGAATTAACTGAAACTGAGATATCCCAAAAAGGCATGGCACGTGGAATTAGAACAATCTACCTCCGTGAACTAAATAAAGGTTTTCTGTCGTCCTGAAATTAGTTCGCGTATGTAATACTTATCTCTGATTTTTAGGTTTAAAATCTGGGAAAAATATTAATTTTGCACGACTAATCGCAGTATTCACCCTAAATCCAATATATTTGGCAGATAATTTTTAAAATTTCTTCAAAAGTTCCCATCCTCCTTCCCCTGCAAAAAATTTCTAGTGCTAGTTTATTGAAATACTGATTTTAGAAAGTTGGTGCGGCCGGGAACTTTTCAACATTCATGAGTAATTACGAACAGATATATAATTATTTGATTAATGCAATTAAATGTCATGATAATTACGGCATTATGTGAGATATTCAGAGCACCAGGCCACAGAAAATAAGGGAAACAGACAACATATGAATTTCTCTGCGCGCCTTGGCGATTAAAACCAAAATGGAGGCACTATCCGTACAAAATTTGAGAAAATTTCGCATATCTGTGCTGTCGTCTTCTACTTCGTAAGATTTAGACATAAACTGAAGAGACAAAAAAAAAATTAGAAGCGGTGTAGCTCTTTCCTTCACCTAAATAACGTGGAATAAAATCTTCGTTGCGCTGAAGTCAGTTCATGGACATGTTTTTTCAACACCTGTCCATAAATGAATTGTTTTAATTGCAGGGAATTTAATGGCGTCTACAATGTGTTTCATAAATGCTCAATTGGGTTTAAATCTAGCGGTGATGGCGGACACTAGAATACTTGGAAGACAATGGTCTTCATGAAACCAGGTTTCATTTCGTCCAAGTTATCTGCCTGGGACAAATTTTGACCATCGAAAAATACCGTGAGTACAAATTGCATCCTATCTGCAACAAGAATTGTATATGATACGGAGGCACGGTGGAGCAATGGAAGAATCCGGGAGCCGAGTTCAAATTCCAGTCGAGTCCATCACATTCGCTTATGTTCTAATACCCTTGGGAAAGGTATGAATCCTCTTCTTCCCCCAGCCACGGGTAAATAGCAGGACAGACCGGCTTCCATAGCTTTGGATGGCAACTGGTCTACCACTGAAGGAAATGGCAACCTACTGCGGGAAAAAATCTGGCTCGTATCGAATGATACACGATCGCCTAAGCGTGTATCGTCATTAAGATACACTTTTCAAGACAGACCCTAGTATCAATAGGGTTCTTTGTGAATTCCATCAGAATACACTCCATAATCAAGCAAGGCAATAAAGCCGCTAAGACAAAAGAGTTACGGAGAATGAAAGAAACTAAGAAACTAAGGAGAAAGGAAAATAAACCGAACAGGATTCAAGGAGACAGAAGATGACGATTGACGCTGGATTTACGTTTTTGAAGATTGTAGTTGACAGGGAAAGCAAGAAGCTGGAAAAGATTCCCAACTGTAGGAGGTTCGAGAGAAGAAACTATAAGAATTGAACTTAAGGTTACATCTAGTAATTTCAATAAAGTGGTGAGACCTAGCTGCCAATCTAGCACTGCGCTTAAATTCGAGGGTCTATCAAGAAAAACTCACCAGAATAATTATGGTGAAAATGTTTATAAAAGAGACAAAGGGAAGCTATGTTGCCGATGTGACAAGGTGACTGAAGGCAAGATGCGATGTCACGATCGATAACATTACAGATTCTTTCTTATTTTATCCAGAATCTTTAGAAGCGCCAGATATGGTAACAATAATCAATGTATGGCCGACTGGTAGACGTATAAAGCTACAAGACAATGGCTGCTGTAAGTGACTGTGCCTTTGAACTGGTTGATCACTCTTCCTAATCTCTTGGTTTGACTATCATCAGTTCCCCAACATGAAAAAACACGATGCTGAGAAACAATAAGGCGGTGATGATGACGTCATACCTGCTGTTGATGATTTTTTTGACCAACAGAATGAATAGTTGTCTTTAAAAAGTCAGGAAATGAAGTCATGGGGAGTCATGATTGCTTATATGCTGAAGAACTACAGTGGATAGAAGAGGAATATTGGCTTGTGTAAATGGTTGGCAGAACAGGTATTAGGAGATATAGCAAAAAGACAAACTTTACTAAGAGCTACAAAAGACTGGAAGTTGTGAAGAGCCATGATCGCCAACACTCTGAAGGGACATGACACAGAGGATCATTACTTGAAAGGTTTCTCAGAATTGCTAGTGAAATAGAATAAAATAAAGAATTTTTTTAAAGAAAGAGTAATAAAAAAAAAAGTGAATGGAAAATCTGTTTTCTGTTTATAATGAACAAATATCACCCTCTGTATTCTTCTGATTTGATTATCATCTGTTCCCCAACATTAAAAAAAACACTTGGCTTGGAACCAATATCACAGTGATGATGATGATATCATATCTGCTGTTGATGATTTTGTTTTTATCAACTGGATGAACAGTCTTCTTTGAACAGTCAGATGTCAGTTTACCTGGAAAGAAACAATGCAGTTATTAATAAGAAGAGTTGAAATTAATGCATGCAAAATTTCACAGCTCTAGCATCACTCGTTAATATTTAGCTTATAAACTTTTCATCCTACCCTGATATATATATATATATATATATATATATATATATATATAGAGAGAGAGAGAGAGAGAGAGAGAGAGGGGAGAGAGAGTGGTCCATCTATTCAGGGTGTAGATGAGTATGACCTTCCACAGATTCCTTTCTTTTAATATCTATAAATTGAAAAGATAGTAAAGTGGGTTCCTATCTCCGTCTCCACGCTTTTGGAATTCAGAACGTTCCTTCTCTTAGACCAGTGGCTCTCAAACGCTACTTCGCGCCTCATAGGTGGGACGGAAGAGGATAGCAGGTGAGGCGGAAGAGGATAGAAGCAGGTGAGGCGGACGAGGATAGCAAGTGAGGCGGAGGAGGGTAGCAGCAGGTAAGGCGGAAGACGATAGCAGGTGAGGCGGGAGAGGATAGCAAGTGAGGCGGAAGAGGATAGCAGGTGCGACGGAAGACGATAGCAGGTGAGGTGGAAGAGGATAGCAGCAGGTGAGGCGGAAAGGGATAGCAGCTGCGACGGAAGAAGATAGCAGGTGAGGCGGAAGAGGATAAAAGCAGGTGAGGCGGAGGAGGAATACCAACTTGGGGATGCCTTATATGTGCGGTAGTTTGGTGTAACGTTGAGTCAGCTATCTATACTTATTCGATGCGAAGTAGTCTGTTGGTTTTGTGAGGGTCGCGTTCTTTTTCATTTTGCCGTATCTACCATCCCCAACTTGATGTGCCCATTTTTTTTTAATATTCCAACTTGTTCATTACCAATGAAGCGTTTGAACGAGGCGGGATATCCGTAGACATGCGCAGTGGAGCGAGAACAGTCTAACCACACAGATTAAATAAAGGATTCACTTTGGAATTCCCTGTAGGTTATCCTGATCGATATACATCTTATGAAGGTCGGAGAGCAGAACGGTCAAAACTTTGATGAAAGCAACAAAGATTAGAACAACAGACCGAATGTCAATATTGTAAATAATAACTTCTCATCCCAGAAAATAAATGCCGATATATAAAAAAAAAATTGTGTTAGTGAGCGTGTTGGTTTTAGAATTTGATTGTTATCCGTGGGTTTAGTACATTACATCGATTGAAGTTAGAACAACGTCACCCAATAATCGTTAAACAAAAGACGAAAGCGGCAAAAAGTCTAGGATTATTTTGTCTCTTTTTGATTTTCTGTTTAGCACACATGCGCATGCGCGAACTTGGGTCTTACGCAAATTTTCGGTAATTAGATTCGTTCAGATGAGATGCAGTCGCGTACGTCGATAAATTGAATTTTTTATCGCGCGCTGTAGGTTGGCATCATTAATATTTAATAGGGCGCGTAGGAAAACGTACGCACACATACACATACACACACACACACACACGCATATATATATATATATATATATATATATATATGTATGTATAATGTGTGCTTCTTTGTGAGTGTGAATGCGTGTACGTGTGTGCATGTAACTATTTGTATGAGTGTGTGTATGTGTCTATCTGTATGCATGTGTCTTTATGTATGTGCATGTGTAAATGTGTACGTGTGTGTGTGTGTGTGTGCGTGTGTGTCGGGAATTGAAAGGCTTAGCCGCACTCAATTGGCGTATCATATTCTAATTTCTGCGGAAGCCGCTTTTGTAAATTCAGCACTAATACCCTTGGGAAAGTTAATATCATGTTATCTCTCTCAGCCAGCTGTATTATCTCGAGCAACCCACGGTAGCTAAATGGTAACTTTGGCAAGTCAAATTCTTATAATAATAGTAATAGCAACAAAAAACAAACTGTTGCTACAACCATTATCAACATTCGTACACACACACACACACACACACTCATATATATATATATATATATATATATATATATATATATATATATATATTTAATCATATATTGTTAAATATGACGGGGAATGAATCGGCCTGACGATTGCATCTAACATGAAACAGATTGTCACTTTTATATTTACACACGCTCTGTCTCTGATATTGAGCACTTTATCCCATAAATATAGCACACCTTAAGACTATATTTCTTCATATATATAAGATGGCCGGCCCAGTCGTTTCCATAGTAATTAATGTTGCAATGGACCATACTTATAAACACGCGCAAACCACAAGATAGCTTATTGCTAAATTTTCGCTTGAAGATGAAACGGGACCCATCACCTTGATTCAACTTAATTTTAATAATTATATTGATGGTTTCGGCTCTCGTTTTTGAAGCATGAGAACTCTTATGTAGCGAAGGAATGATATTTTTAAAAAAATATTATAATTATATATATATATATATATATATATATATATATATATATATATATATATATATACAATAGGAATTAAGATCACATATAGTTAATGATCATTTTCACCTTGTAAATTGAAACAAAATTTACAAGGATATTTCAAACCAATCAATGGATGATAAATTAATGAAATAAAAAGTGGCCAAACAGAAGAAGGAAAGAATACCCCCCCACACACATATATATATATATATATATATATATATATATATATATATATTCCTGATATATATATATTCCTGAAGGAACTGTGTTCCTGAACAATCCAAATTGTAAATAATTATACTGGATATACTACAACATTCTAACATGAAGACTCGCTGATCATAGCTCAATTAGGTCTCATTTAAATACACCGTGGAGGCTTACTAAACTCTATCCACAACATATTCGTTGATAATGCAAATATAATAGCCTCCCCCACATGCAAAAAAGGCATTAATGCAAGCATTATTAATAAAAAAGGGAAAAGTCAACACGCACTAATATCAACTATCAAAATGGCCACAATGTGCTGACCGTGTTTGGAAGATAAAACATTCTTATAACTCTGAGTTTTAAAAGTTCTACAAGTTACAACATTACATAAAACCTAACACTAATCCCCTGTATGTATACCCTAAGTCAAACCACCCTCCATCTATAATTAAGCATATACCCACATCAATAGGGAAAAGAATCAGTATAAACTCTGCTAATAAGGAAAATAATAAATAGAACAAGAACTTGTAAAACCTGGGATGACCCATGCCTTTATGCCCACATGAAAAACTGCACATTATTAAGTTTCTAAATAATGAAAATTTATTAAACCATAGACATGAGTTAATGGTTTTTTGCCGACATCAACAAATTTATGAATTAAATAATTAGCATAAAAAAAAATTAAATTTCATAGTCTAATAAAAGGTTTAAAAGCTTAACCCAATCACAAGATACAAAAAACCCTTTATGAAGTCGGCAAAAAAACAAATTGTAGTTCAGTGCGACGCGTTTAAATACGAAACAGCCGTTTAGGAAAAAAAAATAAAATAAAATAAAATAAATAAATAAATCAATAAAAGAATAAACAAATAAAATAAAACAAAATTCTCTAGACACTTAACGATATACTATGGGGCCAAAAGTAATCTTTCGCTGACTGACCAGACGATGTGCTCACATGAATGCCATCATTCGCTTTGAAATGGATCCCCCCACCTTACCTCAGCTTGACATCTTTCCGAAAGTGACTGATATGTGAATAAAATTATCTCTTAGACCCCTTACCAAAATGGTCAACCCAGCCGTTTCCATAGTAATTAATTTTGCGAATGAACATGCTTATAAAGATGCGTAAATTTCAAGATTAATTATTCCTAAATTTTCCCTTGAGGATGAAACAGGGCTTGATGCTTTAACTCAATATAATTATAATAATTATATTGAGGTTTTCGGCTCTTGTTTTTGAAACATGAGAACTCTTATGTAGCGAAGGAATCATATTTTTAAAAAAATAATTACAATTTAAGCTCTACTTCTGTATGGAGCACGGTTTTTTTTTTTTAAATAAAAACAAAAATACTAAATAACTCCGGATTATTTACCTAACGTGTTTTTTCCTATTTTTCTACATGTTTCATAACTTTATACGTTGCGAATTAATAACAATATATATATATATATATATATATATATATATATATATATTGTTACTATATGTAACACAGGTTTAAAGAAAGATAAAAATAAGGTAACGTTCACTCAGATAGGAACACACAAACAGGTACCGATGAACAACAAACACAAGATTATAAATTTTATCTGATAAAATATAAAATATGGAAAAAGTATTGAGTGACAGACGTACAATTAATAAAAGAACACTTAACTGATATTGGATGTCAGTTAAAACGTTTGTGTTTCAACACAAAGCTAAAAAAATAATAGAATTTTCTTTTCCATTAGAATTTCTGATGAAGCTTAAATAAAAGCGAAACATGTTAAATTCATAAAGGTTTCTTATTTGTTCCTTATCTTACAAAACACTTCACCCGTAAACCTTTGTCACACTTCTTTCCCCCATATATATATATATATCTCTCTGTGTGTGTGTGTGTGTGTGTGTGTGTGTGTGTGTGTGTGTGTGTGTGTGTGTGTGTGTGTGTGTGTGTGTGTATTGTAACTATTGTTTTTATTATTTGAAATGAACGTGGAATTGGAATGCAATGAATATGAAATACATATTAGCGTAGTGACGTTAAAATAAACTTACAGTTCAACATTTTCAGGCATGTAAGCCTAGATTCTATTGATGGCAGATTCCAAGGTCTTTATGGGAAGAAAGACCAGAATTGTTTATCTTTTTTAAGTTGGATCGGCAGACTAATGCGTACTGTCAACCAAAATAAGGCGAAAATTAGAAAGGTTGTCGTGGATTTGTCTCAATCTCGGACTCCACTAGTTAACTTGCCTTTGAACTGAAGCTACTTGATGCTAAATATTCCAGACGCCCCCATAATATATATATATATATATATATATATATATATATATATATATATATATATTTATTAAATAAGATAAGATCATGAAGAAATAGGAAACGTTTATCAATCTAACATGTATCAATTAAAAAAAAAAAGAGTGAAACGCGGATTGATAAACGTTTCCTATTTCTTCGTTATCTTATTATTTCAATTCATACTTGAGCAATATTTGATCCTAACTCATATATATATATATATATATATATATATATATATATATATATATATGTGAAAATATATAGAAAATAGGAAGGAACTGGTTAGGTAAATAGTCCAAAGTTCCTTAGTATTTTTGTTATTATTTTAAAAAATAGTGCTCGATACAAAAGTAGAGCATAAATATAATTATTTATTTAAAAATATGATTCCAAATCGCTACATAAGAGGTCTCATGTTTCAAAACAAGAGCCCAAAACTTCAATATAATCCTTTAAATTAAATTGAGTTGAAATTAAAAAAAAAAAATCTTCCGAAGATTTTTTTTTATTTTCAAAACAAAAATTATTTGAAGAACAAAACATGACTTCTTATGTAGCATTTGGAATCATATTTTTTAAATAAATAATTATATATATATATATATATATATATATATATATATATATATATATAAAGCATTACGCCCCGAGCAAGGCGTGAAGCCACTAGGATGCAGGGGGTTGCGGAAGATTTGGAGCGAGATCAGATAGGGTGATAGAAGAAAGGATGAGGAGAAGGATAGTGGGTAGATCAAGGCAACTGG